ACGCTCCAATATTAAAAGATGTTCACTTTGATTTCACACAGGATATAAAAATGACTTCACTGCAGACGGTACGGGATCTCACCTGCTTCTTTGATTTCTTTTAGACTAGCTAGAAGAAAGTTATTTTTTGTATAATTGCCGCCATATTTTTTAGGCATTTTTTGTTTGATCATTTTTTCTTTTATTAACGTATTTTTTTTATCAATTTACAATAATTTCATTATAATGTTTATCATAATCTTGTATTTTTTCTTCTGCCTCTCTTTCCTTGCCTGCGTAGGCCACAATGAAGCAAAAAATAGTTCCTGAATAAATTTGTTTGTTTGCTTACATCTAAGCTTTCAATTGCCAAAAAAATCTTGCACTGGTATTAGATAAATCATTGTCAACCATTATTAATTTTTTTTAATAATGTTTCTTTCATCTTAATTCCAATATTTTTTCTACAGCTATCAGTAAACTGTTCTGTCTGGGCAGGATTTGTGAATTCATTTCTTTGTTTCGGGAAATCGTACGAACCGCATTATTTGCCTTGCAAAATTAAGCTACAAAATTTCGACGACTAGCTGGAAATCAAATCTCATAATACAGACTTACTCTTCTCTTTGCATATGAGTGAAGTAATATTTTTATTGCTTTTTCCTAAAAGAAGACGGAGAATGTGATACATAAATCCGAAAGCGAATTAGAATAACGAAACAAAGTATTAACGGGAAATGTCCTTATAAATAAAGAAAAATATGCTGAACTGCTATATAATATTTCAACTTGTATATGGCAGCCGATGCTGGATAATCTTCTCACAGATAAAGACTCGAAACAACGTCGTCATAAGAGCTGTTTAGACTAGAAAGTACACGGCAACCAATATGAATTCTTATTTCCGCCATCTTTACAAATATCTCTTATCAGTTCTCACCAGACCCCAGAAAAGTGCAGCCGGTCTTCTAATCTTTTCAAATGTTTTTATTCGGGGAATGATGGAATTAATAGTTCTTTTAATTGTTCAATGTCTCTGGTTGTTCGAAGTATTCATTTCAATTAATATAAATGTTTATTTCTATGTATTTTAAGATTTATAATGGAAGCACAGTGGAGTCAGCGGCTCAAATTGAGGAATCGGAGAGCCGAGTTTGAATTCCATTCGAATTCATTGGATTCTCTTACGTACTAATTACCCATAGGAAAAGCATGATTCTATCTCTACCCCCCCACGCCCCCAGCTATGGATAATTAACAGAACAGATTAGGTTCAATGCAGAAGAAAAAAAAATAGTGAATAATGCAGTGTGTTAAAATGGCTGGGTGGGAAGGAAAACTCTGAATTAAAACCAGTCTAGAGAGGACTGGGCTTCGTCAGGTTATCTTCTCCAATACACAACACTGGATCTGCAGAACGTCTGGTGCCCCTACGACCCTGGTGGGTTATGGGACACGTGATCGTGGCATTTAAACTAAATGCATTCATATTCCTTCCTGTTCGCCTTGAACTGCAAAATTGACATTCGCTCTTAGACTTTCCAATTTCTATAGATGTTATTTTCCATTTGCTATTAATTATTAAACTACTTCCATAATACTTAGTATTCAACGTCTGATTCCAAGGTTATCAACATCAGCTGTCTAAGAGCAATATTAACATCAATTCCTTCTTGTTAAATTTGGTATCTTGGAGACAACATACATTAATGTAGCAGCCATTATCTTCATAGCGAGAAAGAGAACAATGAGAATTGAAAGCACAGAAAAACTGCTACAAATAGCCAGAACTGAACTGAAATTTCTAGGACACATAATAAGAATGGAAGCCTTGGAGAAGTTAACACTCACAAGGCATATTAAATAAAATGCAAGGAGAAACGACAAATAGCCTGCGTAACCTTTAACTCTTTGCATTATTCACTACTTTCTTTTCCTTTGAATTATTTTTCCATGCTTCTCTACTGTACTACTTAATTTCAGTCATGGTTATTTTCTGTTGCCATAGCAGGATATGACAACACAACAGCAAAATTCAAACACGCTGTTATTCATTCATCTGAGCCACTTGCAGTAGCAGAATAAAATTTTTGCTTTAGATACAAAATCATCTCCAGTATGTTAAAGTTTAAAACATTTGAGTAAACAGATAATAAATGTATGGCAAAGAAAGAAAACATATTCAGTGAAAGATAAAGATAGGAAGTTGTAGAGAGCCATGTCCTCAAAGAACATACCATTTAAAAAAGTAGTAATATTAGTGTTAGAAATATCATAATTATATAAGCATGGTTAACTTAATACCTTTAACTTATGCTCGAGTATTGAGCGCCTTTTTATGATCAGTTTTTATTTAGGGAAGGACACATGGCCTAGTAGATAAAGGCGTTGGTAGAAGTGATCCGGTGAATGGGGTTCAATACCTGGCCACAGCAGAGATGAACAAAAACTTGGGGAGTTGAATAAAATAAAAGGGAAATAACTGAAACTGAGATATTCAGAAAAGGCATGGCATGTGGAAGTAGAACAATCTATCCTGAAATAAAAGACGAAATAAAAGGTTTGTCTCGAAATTCCGGCGTATATCACCTGAGGAGTGTACAACGGCCGAAACATTGTGAATATGACAATAAAGAAGAGGACAACAATGTAAGTAGTATATATATATATATATATATATATATATATATATATATATATATATATAGACTCGTTTCGAAAAACCTCGAATTTTGATTTGCTAATCAAATCAATCTCGAGGAAAAAAAGGTTTTAAAAAAAGAAAGAGCTACAAACATGAACTTCTGCCGACAAAAAAATCGAACAGATGCAGGTCTGAAGCCCAAAGAAAAAACCCCGATACGAGTAACAACTAACTAACAAAAGGACTCAATACAACCGTAGAGCAGACCTTTCCCTGACGATCCGTTTAGGTGAAACCTAGGTAGGTTTGTCTGGCTCACTAGAACATATATATATATATATATATATATATATATATATATATATATATATATATATATATATATATATATATATATATATATATATATATATATATATATATTGCTCTGCGTTGTATTGAGCACTTTCTAAAAAATGCTAAGAACTGTGGATTCTTAATCTGTCTGTTCTTTCTCTTTATTTGAACACACACACACACACATATATATATATATATATATATATATATATATATATATATATATATATATATTACCACCAATGTTAACGACCTGATGAGATTTCGAAATTAGACATCGAAACAAATATGCATATTTCTCGTGGTAACTTGTATGTTCAAATGTAACAGTTTATTACACACACACACATATATATATATATATATATATATATATATATATATATATATATATATAAAAGTAATCTACAGAACAGACTGTTTCGGTGTTTCACAGCTCTTCAGTGTGGCTAGACATCCGGTTGCCTCTAGCTAGGATCGAAACCCTGACTGAATTGGTGTCAATTCTACCACTAAGCCGTCGGTACACGGCAGGGATGAAGGTGAATTTTAGTGTATTTATTTTTAGATAAACACAAACAGTTACCGACAGTGACGCAATTCGCTTTTGCCGAAGAGTCTCGCTATATCAGCTATAATAGTCACTGTTTACAAACCCACACCTTCTCCCCCAGAGAGTTCAACTGAAATTAATTTTTCAGGGCCAATATATATATATATATATATATATATATAAGAGTTGTGTTCATTGCTTTCTGGAAAATTATCAAATAAAAGTTTCTTGGACACGTAATGAGAAAGGAGGGCTTGAAAAATCTGATACTCACAGGGAGAATCAAGGGAACGAGTGACACGGGAGAGCAACACGTGACATACCTAACGGGATTAAGTATGTGGATGGCAGAAATGGGTCTAAGAGAAATAACTAAATAACGAAAAGACAAAAATAATTGAGACCTACAAGGGACAGGAAGAAGTGGAGAGCCACGATCACCTACGTCCGGAAGGGACATGGCACACAAAAGAGAAATGTTTTAAAATACAATAATGATGTAATCATAAAGATATTAGATAGTAAATCTGGTTGACTTAAGTAAGGTTGGGTATGACCCCCAACCTTTTTTTAAACAAAAAAAGGTTACAAATTATGCATTTTTTTGCGACTGGTTAAGATATACGCGGTTAATTTTTTTTTTTGGAGAGGTTACAATTCATGCATTTTTTATGAGCATAACTTACCTGTTACGCCTACAAACTTACGTTATATGTAACCTCTTTTAGTCTACCTGCCATACAGTAGATTCTTTCTTTCTCTATTGCTACAACAACAGCAGAAGATTATTCACTAAGTTTACCGCTTAAAATCTACAAATACTTCATATAAAAGAAGAATTAACATTTTTTTCCAATTTGTGTCCATTTTCGTTAACATGTGTTTACATCGCTGATGTATTGCTTTTCTAACGACACCCCTTTTATCTGATATCGTATATATTTAAGATTTCTTCCTTATTCTCCCTTCTTTTATTTATTTTTATTAATTATATTCTTTACATTTAAAGGTATTATTTCATCTTATAATTCTGTTATATGTTCTTAAAATATTTTTAAAAGATTCATCGCAATATATCGTAAATGATGATTGCGTCGGAGTTTCAATTTGAGAAGGGTACTGTCGAAGTTAGCTCCTCCTTAATTCCCTAATTGTTCACTAGGGGTCGTTCTCCCTATACTATAAATACAGAGCGACTTCTTGCCTCGTTCTCTTTTTCCCTTTGCATTTCAGCGGACGCATTTAAAAATGTAATCTCTCGTAGAAATCCGCGTTTTCGCCCACGTGTGGGAAAACGCCATGAAACACACACACACGTATAGAAAACATTTGAGCAACGACGAAGTTTTAGAGAAAATGGAAACAAAAAGGACACTTATACTTAGAAAGAGAAAATTGGCATTTCTGGGGCACATGATGAGGAAAAAGGGCTTAGAAAATTAGACACTCACATGGCGTGTTGAATGTAAATAGTCCAGAGTGAAGTAGGGAATAACGTACCTAATGAGATAGTGTAAATAATTGAATGAACGTAAAGAGTTTGCATTTTTGGTGAATGTTCTTACGAACATTCACCAAAATGCAAACTCTTACGTTCACAGACAAACACAAATGTTAATGTCTTTTGTAACTTGTAAAAATTGTTGTTTAAAACATATATTTGTTAACATATATATATATATATATATATATATATATATATATATATATAAAAAATATAGTCTTAAGGTGTGCTATATTTATGGGATAAAGTGCTCAATATCAGAGATAGAGCGTGTGTAAATATAAAAATCTCTCGTAGAAATAGATGTGGCCTGACGATTGCATATAGCATGAAACAGACTGTCGCCTCTAAGTGTTGACTTCTATGTTCACTATTATATATATATATATATATATATATATATATATATATATATATATATCGGTCTTGTTTGTTTTTTCTTTTATATCTTCGGTTGGACTCAACTTGAGTCCGCCATTTTCTTGTAGTTGGACCTTCCAGCAGGAATATAGAGCACGTGTTCCTAATACAACAACACTCACCCCCACGGTCCTCTACAATGGCACAGGGTGAAATACCAAATGAATTTTAATTCTGCTAACTTGCTTTATGTTATAGAGTAAAGTTATCAATAGGAAATAACAAAATTGAGGAAGATTATAAAAGCACTATTTATATAAAAATTATACATAAAGTATTACCATACATGTTGCATAAAGAAATTATTTACAATAGACTGAAGAAGGTAGTTTTTTTACTGATCACTTATTCATTACACAGGAATGAATTATTTATGATTCAAAAAAGGAAATAGGTCTTTTACTGACATGTATTAATATTTATTTGCTATAAAATATGTTCAGGATGATGCCAACTACTGAAATTTTTTCAGTGACTGATAGCACTATACACAGGTAATTTCTTCTAGAGGGGTCAAAATTCATGCATTTTTTGTGAGCATAACCTACATGGTAAGTTTTTGACTAAAAGGTAAGCTAGATTCTACCTTTCTGTTGCTACAAGAAAAGCAGAATGTCATTCACTGTGTGTGCCACTTAAAGATGGAAGATATTGGGTTGGGATTTCTTTTCTGATTTTGACTTGTCTTTGCTTTCAAAGGTACTACTCTATACATTAAAGTATCATGCAAGTTTTTATGATCAGTTTTTTTATACAATAAATATGAGGGTCATGCTATACACAGGTAATTATTGTGAAGAGGTTAAAAATAATGCATTTTCAGTGACTGGTTGCACTATACACAGGTAATTCTTTCTAGAGGAGTTAAAATTCATGTATTTTTGGTGACTAGAACCTACATGGTAAGCCTTTTTACTAAAAGGTAAGCTAGATTCTACCTTTCTGTTGCTACAAGAAAAACAGAATGTCATTCACTGTGTGCCACTTAAAATCTACAAATACCTTATATAAGTGAACAATTAACAATGCTTCTTTTCCTTTCTCCAAATTGTCTTTATTTTCATTCATACGTGTTTATATCACTGAGGTATTGTTTTTCCAGCGTCACCCCTTTTGTCTGACACGTATCTATATCGGATATGTTTCAGTTTTGTTCCAAATTCTATCTTCCTTTATTTATTTATTTTCATTAATTATATTCTATACATCTACTGGTATTATTCCATCTTATAATTCTCCATTACATATTCTTAAAATATTTTGAAAAGATACAACGCAATATTTGGTAAATGATTATCGCACAGGATGAAAGACCAAATGAATTTTAATTCTGGTAGCTTGCTTTATGGTATAGAGTAATATTATCAATAGAAAATATCAAAATTTAGGAGCATTATAAAAGTCCATCTCACTATTCATATATAAATTATATATAAAGTATTACCGTACATTCTACAAGAAGAAATTATTTACGATACACTGAAGAAGGTAGTTTTTGTTTTATTCTTAACGATTATTGGTAATTCTAATATTTTAGTTTTTACGTTTTCCTCAGATTATAAAGAAAGAAAACGAGAGAAAAGAGATGAGGTAAGCTATTAGAAGAAAGAAAGAAAGAAAGAAAGAAAGAAAGAAAGAAAGAAAGAAAGAAAGAAAGAACGATAGTGAAATGAAGAAAATCTACGGAAAGAAAAGAAGAAGAAAAAGTGAATAAAGTTACCTGAAGAATGAAAAAATGGTCAGAAGTAACAAAGAAAAGATCAAGAAGTAAAGTGAATTAAATAAATAGGGAAAAAATGGAAAAGAAAAAGAAAGAATAAAGAAAAAAGGTAATGTCAAAAAATAAATAAAGAAGTGCACTATACAACTTTAAGAAAGAAACAGTTTGTGACATGTGTGATACACGCTTAGGCGATCATGTAGCTTTCGATACATGACTGACGAGGCAGATTTTTGCCGCAGTAAGGTTGCCATTTCTTTCATCCAAGGCTATAGAACCCGGTCTGTCCTGCTATTTACCCATAGCTCGTGGGGGAAGAAGAGGATTCATACCTGTCCAATGTTATTAACACGTTAGTGAATTTCATTCAGTTATGTGCCTTGCTTGATACACGCTTAGGCGATCATGTATCTTTCGATACATGACTAAAGAGGCAGATTTTTTCCCGCAGTAGGCTGCCATTTCTTTCTGCGGTAGACCAGTTGCCATCAAAGGCTATAGAATCTGATCTGTCCTGCTATATACCCATAGCTGGGGGGGTGGAAGAAGAGCATTCATATTAGCACGGAAGTGAATGTAATGGAACCTGAATTCGGATCTCCTCAATCCGAGCCGCTATCCATTACTCCACCGTAACTCCTCTGAAGAAATAAAGTTAAAATAAAAGAGAAGAAAGAATAGAAAAGAAATAAGAAGATGTCTTAGTGGAATAAATAAATAGAAAGAAAGTACTCTTAAAACAAAGAAAAAGAACTGAGGAAAAGCAAATAAAAAAGTAATTGAATATTTTTGACGAGACTCAAAATAGCCTAAATGTAATAAAGAATATTCGGATATAGAGGAAGAAACGGTAAAGCAGAAAACAAAAGGGAGATAGAGAGTTTGTATCAGGTCAAGTGATGAAATTATTCATAAATCTTTATGCAAAAGAGAAATCCGAGAAGAAATCAGTGGCAAAGTTGGAGGAGTGAATGAAAACCAAGATAGAGTTTGTAATGTGAGATGAGCATGCGCACTAGAGGAGACAAGTTGACAAAGAAAAAAGGAGAAAAAATATTAAATCAAAATCGAAATAGTGTTTATTGTTTGTATGGGAATGGGCTTTTACAATAAAGGGAAAGAGGAACTTAAATGGAGAAGAAAAAAGAAGAACGAAAAATAATCGTCAAAATGAGAAGAAAAAAAATAAAGCGGAAGAGAGAAAAGTGAATAAGTAAAGAAAAAAAGGAAATGAAAGACCGAATGAAAAATGATCCCAAAATCAAAGAGGAAATAAAGCGTTTAACAAAGTCGTGCAAGAAAAGTAAAGGAAGAGAAGAAAAAATTATAGATAGAAAAATAGAAAACTTAAATAAAGAATGAATTAGAAAAAATGCAAAACATACAAGTCATTTGTTAAATTATTATAAAAAAATGAAAATATATATTCAACAGGGATAGAAGAAAAATAATGGTGTTAAAAAAGAGGTCTAAAAAAAGAAAAACGAAAAATAAATGGAAACAGGAAAGAAAATGAGAAAAGGAATGAAAAATAAAATAGAAAAACGAAAAGGAATAAATCTGAGCAGAAGTTAAGAAAGAAAGAAAGAAAGAAAGAAAGAAAGAAAGAAAGAAAGAAAGAAAGAAAGGGAATAAAATTGAGCAGAAATTAAGAAAGAAAGAAAGAAAGAAAGAAAGAAAGAAAGGGACTAAATTTGAGCAGAGGTTAAGAAGGAAAGAAAGAAAGAAAGAAAGAAAGAAAGAAAGAAAGAAGAGAAAGAAAGAAAGAAAAATGGAAAGGAACTTCGACTCAATTACAAAAAAAAGCATTAAAATTGAGGGTCAAAGCGAAATGGCGCCATTTTAAGAAAGAAAAAAAAGGAATCGTCCAGAAAAAAAGAAAATTTGCAACTCTCACCCGACACGAAACAAACAAGCCAAGAAAAGTAATTGAAAAATGGATATTTCAAAGAACATCACTCAAAGAATGCTCCCACCTTTGCTAGTTGAATTTGGTTCGAAAAGAAATTATGGATGGACTGAAATAAATCCTCGGACATTTGACAACTTTTTTCATGAAAAGAATAAGATTTTCACCAACTTTTTTTAAAGAAAAACGATAACGCTTAAAATTGTTGAAAAGTCTCACCATTGCTAAATTTGTCTCACCTCACTATTTTCGCGGCAATTAATAAAGAATTGTATTTGCTCGATGAATAAAATGATTTTCAAAGTTCGGTAACATTTCATAGAATTCGAGTTAATTTATTACGTCACTGTGTTTCAAATTAAAAGTTAAATCTAATTGTCTTTATCGCGTTTAGAATCAAATCACTAATCTAATATCTAAATCAGTGATTCTCAACGTGGTCCAGATGGACCACCGGTAGTCCATATAGCATTCCTAGTGATCTACAGATAATTCGTAGCCACAAAAAAATGTAGCCATTTCACAAAAAAGTATCTAAATTATTCATACTTTGAAGAGTTAAAAAATATATTTTGTTTAATTACACACGTCCATTGTATCTGTCTATATTTAATTGGAAAATTTGTAAACTTAATATATGCTGAGCCACAAAAATCTCCTGAGCCGACCAAGCATAGAAATGAATACACTACGGGAACCAGTAATAAGGAGTGCCGGAGAAAAGTAATAATAACAACGAAAATTGCAATATGAGCTCTGGTATAATAACATGCAATGATAACAGCAAAAATTTCAATATGAGCACTGGTAAAAATAGTTACTGAAAACATTAAATTTATAAATCCCAGAAATTCATATACAGATGTTCTTAACGACACATGGCACATGGATAAAGGCGTTGGTTAGATCCAGTGACAGGACCCAAAGAATTGTGAGCTCAATACCTGGTTAAGGCAGTGGAGATCTTGGAGAGGTGAATTAACAGAAGATAACTGAAAACATATGACATGGCACGTGAAACTAGAACAGTCTACACAAGCGAGCGAAATAAAGGGTTCAGTTCGCCATTTCAACCACCTGAAGAAGGCAGGGGCGTACAACGGCCGAAACGTTGTGATAAATATGACAACAAAGATGAGGACAATAGTCCGAATAATGTAAATAATGTACGTCTATTGCATTTCAAAATTACGTCGGTATTATGCAATGCTATATTTATTTTATTTTTTATCATATATATATATATATATATATATATATATATATATATATATATATATATATAAGGCTAGCTAGCTAGCTAGCTAATAAGCTAGATAGATACATAGATAGATAGATAGATAACGAACCGGCTGAGATAGATATGAACAGACTGGGATATATATATATATATATATATATATATATATATATATATATATATATATATAAATATAAAAAAAAAAAAAAGAAAAAACAGACCACTTTAAGGGACCATTATGATAATTTATTTCACCTGAGCCCTTTTAAAGGACGCCGGATCATCAGATAGCACACTACAAATATATATATATATATATATATATATATATATATATATATATATATATATTATATATACAATATATAATATAATTATATATATATATATATATCATATATATATATATATATAATTATATATATATAATTTTATAATGTCATATATACTATATATAATATAATTTTTATGAATAAAAATTATATTATATATAGTATATCTGACATTTTTTATATATTTTCTTTACTAAAATAAAATTGAAATTGTAAATAGACTACTTGGTCTTTTCATTCAGTATTTTAACGTGAAAATTGAATAGTCTAAAAATAAAATTAGGAGTGGAAGAAGTTTGAAGAAAAAAATGGTCCAGAGACTGAAAACAGTTGAGAAATACTATATTTTGCTTAATTGATAAATAAAAGATTAATAAAACGGGAATTTTCGTTAGAAAAACGAAAAGAGAGATCAACAGCCACGTAAGATCAATATATGCCGCAGTAAAGTAATGGATAGCGGCTCGGATTGAGGAATCAGAGAGCCAAGTTCGAATTCCAATCGGATCCATTAAATTCACTTACGTGATAATGACACCCCTACCACCCTACGGGTCACGCGATAAAAATAAATATCAATCTATCTGACAGTAAAAGCTGAATAGATGAAGAGATTCGAGGTTACAGAAATGTGAGGCAGAACGAAGGGAGACAAATTAGTAACAGAAGGTAAAAAGAAAGTACGAACCATTTTTAATAACAAAGAGAGAACAAGAGTAGACTTAAAGATTTTTTATTCTGCTTATAATACCAGTGTAGCGACTATTTATAGTCCTCTACAAACGAAAGAGATCTACAAAGGGAGGTAATCATAAAACAAAGGAGATTACTTCCGATTACCTTATCACGCCATTAATTGTAAAAAGTGGAGGTGCATTGGAATAAAAACTGATGACTCCATTATATTCAATTACTATGTAATATCTCAGCTACTATGTAATATCAAATTTCCTATATGGCAATGAATGCTGGACATTTTCCTCAAAGATGAAGAGGAAACTTGAAGGAGAAGTGATGTAGTTCAAAACGAAAACTCCTAAACAAGGTAGTAAAAGAAAGCAAGAAGAAAGGACCAATCAACAATGTATGGCCGTTAGCAAGGTCAACCCAAGATGTGAGCGATGAATGAAGACTTCAGAATCAAGCAAAACGGACATTTAACTATCTGAGAAGTGTTTTTAAGGGACGGTGGAAAATATGACACCGAAATCCGAAGATGCAGTAGATATAGCGAAATATGCTTTCCAGAAGATAAACAAAATATTAAGTAACAGGAAAATCTCGTTAAAGACAAAGAAAAGAGTCCTGAACAGCAATACAATATCAGTTCTCCTATATGGCAGTGAATGCTTGACATTTTTTTCACAAATGAAGAAGAGACTTGAATCATAAGAGATGTGGTTATACAGAAAGATGACGAGAATGACATGGATGGAACATCTGAGAAACGATGACGTTTTAAGGAAATGGCTATAAAAAGGAATGTTTGCGCTTAGTATTAGAAAGGGAAAACTGAAATCTTGAGAAAAGACGGCTTGGAGAATTTGACACTCAGAGGACATATTGATGGCTAGTGGGTGGGTGGATGGGAACACTAAATAACGATATGGTTTAAAGAGATGGCAGATTAGGTGGGACAATAAGGGGGCTTAGAGCTACAAAGGATAGCAGATTGTAGCGACTTGTGATCGCGCACGTCCTAAATGGACACGGCGCATATAAGAAAAAAAGCTTTATGCAGAGAAATGCCACTGGTATAAGGCCCGGTTGCCACTGAAGGCAGAGGGTTACGTTAGAAGGCAGTTTACGCGGATATGTGCGGAAGATAATGGTTGACCCTAGAATTGAACAGGTTAAGTGTGTGTTCATTAGGGAAATATCCTCTTGGGAGTTGGTTTCACAGGGCAGCGGTTTGCGGGAAGACGCTGTCGGAGTGGAACTTCTCACTGATAGAATACGGAATAAATGTGAATACTGAAAGGATAGCCAATGAATGACGTATGTGTAAACATTAGTCTATTAATTTGATGAGACGCATAGCAAACTAATGGAATTTGCCGATCAGTTGACATTTGTATAGAGTCATGCTTTATTTAAACTTTGTGAATATTTGAAAGTTTGTTTTTTTTCTATTTAGTTGCTCAACACATTCCAAAAAAAATATTAGCAAAGGAAAGCCAAAAAATGATTATAAACGCGAATTCAGCGCAGACTAGAAAGATTATAAGAATTCATAGTTGCATTTATAAAGACTTGTTCAACTTTAACAAAAATCCTGAAGACGTCCAATAAAATATTTTACAGTAAGGTTGCACCTGTAGAAAGCACGGGGCAACTCGAGATAGAAGGTTACGTTAGGTGGCAGTTTGTACAGATAGGAGGAGAAGATAACGGTTAACCCTAGACTTGATAGGTTAACACTGTAGTGATCGGGGAAACATCCCCTTGGGAGTCGGTTCCACAGGGCAGTGGTTGGCGGGAAGAAGCTGTTCGAGTGGAACTTACTTCTCACCTATGGAATATGAAAGGAATGTAGGCGGTTTGCTATAATGTAAGTGGTACAGTGGGTCCTATCCGTGAAGGTTGAAACAGGCAGAAACAAGGAATGTAGTTCGTCTGAGTACTTTCCGGGAAAGTAGCGACAGAGCAGCGAGAGGTTTGCTACATACCGCCTGAGCGAGAGAGAGAGAGAGAGAGAGGTTGGAAGGTGGAAAAATAATTCGTCACCCACAAGGATTCATACAGATGGAATTGGTTCAGATGGATTCATTTATTAAAAATGTCCATTTACAAACCCAAGAGGCCCTTTTCTTGTTTACCAATTATGAATGGTAAGATAAGGGACTCGTGTTAATTCACACCAAATTTATAACATTATGTCATAATATTCAACGTGTGATTAAGGAAGAAGAGTCAATATATATGAAATACCTAGTAGAAAAACTGACGCATGAAAATAAAAGTTTGGTCACACTTATATTCTAGATTCAACGGCTTCGAATCAATCATGTTAACCATCTTACTACAAAGGGAAAGCCCAAATGACACTTGTGGGGTGAACTAACTACACTCATAATGGTCTTACATCTCTCTCTCTCTCTCTCTCTCCATATATATATATATATATATATATATATATATATATATGAAGAAATATAGTTTTAAGGTGTACTATATTTACAGGATAAAGTGCTCAATATCAGAGATAGAGCGTATGTAGATATGAATATAAAAGTGAAGATTGAAGTCAACACTCAGAGGCGACAGGCTGTTTCATGATAAAGGTCGCCTGACGATTGCGTCTAGCATGAAACAGCCTGTGCCTGAA